GCAGTTAGCTGAGATGGCATCACTGCACTCCAACCTGGATGACAGAGCAAGACTCCATCTAAAAAAAAATTGTTTCTTTTTGGTTAGTTTCCCAGATATAGTAGTTAAGTTAGCCAAGGGAGCATCATTTTCAAAGCAGGCCAAAAAATAATAATTACGTTTTCCTATTAATTGTTAGTCTTTGCTTATATATCCAGGTAAAATGTTGAAATAACTTACTCAGACTTCATAGTTTCTGCTTTTCTGTTTAATGTAACCTTATATCATCTGCTTGCATTCAGTTGTAGCCAGTGAACACTTGGAAGGCAGGGCTAGTTGGATACTCATAGTCATGTTCCCTGTGCCTGGTACATAGTAAGTAGCCAGTAGATGTTTCATGAATGATTTATTAGTTTGCCTCTTTTCCTATATTTACTGTAACCTTTACTTTTCTTATATATGGTCATCTTGAATATTCTGAAAAATAAACAATAACTTGATTTCCCCAGAAGTCCCACAAATATGAAATGTTTTCATAGAAACGTATAGCGTAGAGGTGCTAAACTTGGGGTTTGTGGAAGGAACTACAGTGTCTCTAAGCCCCCTGAGAAAAATAGGTGGCATTTGACATGGGTGGGGGCATTTTTTCTAGGGAAATATGGTGCATAGATGGATCAAATTTCCAAATTGGTCTTTGGACCCCCTAATGATTAAGAACCAACGTTACAGAGTTTGTGGGTTCCAAGCTTCAAAGATCAGGAAAGTTAAACATGGTGGCTCACACGTGTAGTCCCAGCTACTCTGGAGGCTGAGGCAGGAGGGTTGCTTAAGCCCAGGAGTCTGAGGCCAGCAGTTCAGCAGTTGTAGAGCAGCCTGGCAACACAGACCTACATCTTAAAAAAAAAAAAGAGGCTGGGTGTGGTGGCTCATGCTTGTAATCCCAGCACTTTGGGAGGCCGAGGTGGGTGGATCACTGAGGTCAGGAGTTTGAGACTGGCGCCTGGCCAACATGGTGAAACCCCGTCTCTACTAAAAATATACAAAAATTAACTGGGTGCGGTGGTGGGCTCTTGTAGTCCCAGCTGTGCGGGAAGCTGAGGCAGGAGAATCACTTGAACCCGGGAGGCAGAGATTACAGTGAGCTGAGATGGTACTAGTGCACTCCGGCGTGGGGGACACAGTGAAACTCGGTCTCAAAAAAAAGAAAACCAACTCAAGCTTATGTAAAAAAGGAATTTATTGGATTTTGTAACTGAAAAAAACAAAAAACACTGGGAAAATTCTGGCTCCAGGAATCCTGGGTACAATTACCCAGGATTGGGTTTTTCTCCCCCTTGTTCTTTTTCTCTATATTGGCTTTAGTCTCAGGCCTGCTCTTCTCTATGCTGGAAAAAGATGTCAGTCTGCAGCCTAGGCCTGCTAGGTTTTTAGAGAGGACTCTGATCAGTCTGGTTCAAGTGCTGTGCCCACCTCTAGGGAGATGGAGTCATCACCAATCAGATTACATGGACTGAATATAATTAGTATGAAACTGGAGAGAGAAAGTTCCCCAAAGGAACGTAATGTGTGTAGACAAAAAAACAAAACAAAACAACAACAACCCAGTGTCCTCTGCAGTGATTGAAAAGTTTGAGGACAGTTAAAATAGGTAATAGACTGACAATTTCACATTAAAACTAGGATATATTGTAGTGATACCGAAGTTTTTGGTGAATTATAAATTTTTCTATAAGTGTTTCAGTTTTTTTAACTTGGAAAATTTTCTTCGTTTACTCATTTGTTTAACAGATATTTGAGAACCCGCTATCATCATTCTTTGCACTGGGTATACAGTAGTGAACAAAACAAAAATTCCTGACTTCATGGAACCCACATTCTAGTGAGGACAGACAAGTAATAAGTAACATCAATTACTAAAATAGCATGTCGGATGAGGTTAAGTACTCTAAAGAAAATAAACAGGGAGGAGAGATAGGGAGTAGGTATCACAGTTTTTTTTTTTTTTTTTTTTTTTTTTTTTGAGACAGAGTCTCGCTCTGTTGCCCAGGCTAGAACGCAATGCAGTGGCACGATCTAGGCTCACTGCAACCTCCACCTCCTGGATTCAAGCAATTCTCCTGTCTCAGCCTCCTGAGTAGCTGGAATACAGGCGTGTACCACTATGCCTGGCTAATTTTTGTATTTTTAGTAGAAATGGGGTTTCAGTGTTGGTCAGGCTGGTCTCAAACTCCTGACCTTAAGTGATCCACCTGCCTTGGCCTCCCAAAGTGCTAGGATTACAGGCATGAGCCACTGTGCCTGGCCTAGTATCGCAGTTTTAAATAGGATGGCCAAAGAAGACTTCACCAAGAAGGTGACATTTGAACAAAGATGTGAAGGAAGTAAGTAGAGAGCAAGCCGTTTGGGTATCTGGAAGAAGAAAATTCTAGGTAGTGGGAAGCAAGTGCTAAGGCTTGAAGTGTTGGAGGAACTGCATGGAGACTGGAATCAGAATGGGAAGGAGAGGAGGGTAGGAAGAGAAATAGGAGATGATGTCAAAGAAGTAAGAGAATGGTGGAAGCATATTGTGTAGATCCTTAGAGGCTATGGTAAAGAATGTAAACCACTAGAGTGTTTTGAGCAGAGGAGTAAACTGTTTTTACTTTTTTTTTTTTTTTTTTTGGAGACAGAGTTTTGCTCTTTTTGCCCAGGCTGGAGTGCAATGGCATGATCTCGGCTCACTGCAACCTCTGCCTCCCGAGTTCAAGCAATTCTCCTGCCTCAGCCTCCCAAGTAGCTGGGATTACAGGCGTGCACCACCAGGCCCGGCTAATTTTGTATTTTTTGTAGAGATGGGGTTTCTCCATGTTGGTCAGGCTGGTCTCGAACTCCTGACCTAGGTGATCAGCCTGCCTCGGCCTCCCAGAGTGCTGGGATTATAAGCGTGAGCCACCGCTCCTGGCCTACTTTCTTTCCTTTTTTTTTTTTTTTTGAGAGGGGGTCTTGTTCTGTCGCCCAGGCTGGAGTGCAGTGGCGCGACCTCAGCTTACTGTAACCTCTGTCTTCTGGGTTCGGGCGATTCTCCTGCCTCAGCCTCCCCAGTAACTGGGATTACAGGAGCCTGCCACCACGCCCAGCTAATTTTTATTATTTTATTTATTTTTATTGAGACGGAGTCTCGCTCTGTCACCCAGGCTAGAGTGCAGTGCAGATCTAGGCTCACGGCAAGCTCCGCCTCCGGGGTTCCTGCCATTCTCCTGCCTCAGCCTCCTGAGTAGCTGGGACTGGGCACCTGCCACCACGCCTGGCTAATGTTTTTGTATTTTTAGTAAAGACGGGGATTTCACCATGTTAGCCAGGATGGTCTTGATCTCCTGACCTCTTGATCTGCCCACCTCGGCCTCCCAGAGTGCTGGGATTACAGGCGTGAGCCACCACGCCCGGCCTCATCTAGCTAATTTTTCTATTTTTAGTAGAGACCGAATTTCACCATGTTGGCCAGGCTGGCTGACTTTCTTTTTAAAGAATCCTCCTAGATCCTCTAGAATATATTGTAGAGGGTAGGGTGGAAGTAAGGCGACTAATTAGGAGACTTTCACTGTTGCAGTAATCCAGGTATTAGATGATGGTGGCACACACCAGGATGGTGGTGGAAATGATGAAAAGCGGTCAGATCTGTAGGTAGATTTGCTGATGGATTGGAGATGTGAGGTACTAGAGAAACAGAAGAGTCAAAGCTGACTCCAGTGTTTTGGTCCTGAGCAACTGACCACAATAATTTATTGACCACAATAATTTAATGAGCTAGAGAAGACCAGGAGAGGAGCAAGTTTTCACATGCTCAATTTAAGATACTTTTTTTTTTTTTTGAGATAGAGTCTTGCTCTGTAGCCCAGGCTGGAGTGCAGTGGCACAATCTCAGCTCACTGCAACCTCTACCTCCCGGGTCTCGGTTCAAGCAGTTCTCCTGCCTCAGCCTCCCAAGTAGCTGGGATTACAGGAACGCGCCACCATGCCCAGCTAATTTTTGTATTTTTAGTGGAGACAGTGTTTCAGCATGTTGGCCAGACTGGTCTTGAACTCCTGACCTCGTGATCTGCTCACCTTGGCCTCCCAAAGTGCTAGGATTATAGGCGTGAGCCACCATGCCCAGCCTTAAGATGCTTTTTAGACATCCAATTGAAGTTGTCTAGTAGGCAGTTGGACATACAAATCTGGAATTCAGGTCTGGGCTAGAGAGAGAAATTTGGAAGTTGTCAGCATGTAGTTTATACTTAAAGCCATGAAACTGGATGCGATCACTAGGGAATAAGTGTAAACAAGGAAGAGAAGATGTGTCCCAGGACAGAGTGAGAAGTTGGGGAGAAAAGGAGGTGCTACCAAAGAAGACCAAGAACCAGCAGCAAACAAGAAAATATCCTGGTAGCCAAATTAAAAAAAAAAAAGTTTTAAGGAGAGAGCAATCACTTACTTGTCAGATGTTGCTGATACAACAATCAAGATGAAGACGGAGATTTAATGATTGCACTTAGTGTTACTGTAGTTTATGAGAACAGGTTTGGTAAGTTAGATTTGAGTGGTGGAGTTATTCCTAGAACACATCCTTTTCTTAGGAATTTAAACTCCATGGTTCAGGTGAATCTATGACTGTTAATCACACAACCATTTAACAAATATTTATTGAGTATTCCATCATTCTTTTGTTCTCTGTTGTACATGTTATAGATTTTTAAATTGTCTGCAAATCAAGATGCATATGCAAGTATACAAAAGAGTTTATATATTTGTAGGATGATATGTATATCATATGGAATGCCTATAATATGAAGTGGAAACACCTTAATTATTTTATTTTTTTCTTCTATATTTGGGAGCTTTTTAAAACTTAATTTTTATAGAAAAACTAAAAATCAACCCAAGTTCATAATTCTGAGATCTAAGTAGTTAATACCTAATTGTGATTATTGATTCCAAGAAATACAGGAGTTGAAAATGTAACGTTTAATTTCTCTGATGAAATTTATTTTGTTCTTCTTTATTAGAAATTCATTGAATTTGAAGACTCTCAAGAACAGGAAAAAAAGGACTTACAGACCCGAGTGGAATCTTTAGAATCTCAAACAAGACAACTTGAGCTCAAAGCAAAAAACTATGCTGACCAGAGTAAGTAAAACATTTCTTCTCATAAGTACACTAAAGACTGGGCTTGGCCAGGCGTGGTGGCTCATGCCTGTAATCCCAGCACTTTGGGAGGCCAAGGTGGGAGGATTACTTGAGGTCAGGAGTTCAAGACCAGCCTGGTCAACATGGTGAAACCCCATCTCTACTAAAAATACAAAAATTAGCTGGGCATCGTTGTGCGCACCTGTAATTCCAGCTACTTGGGAGGCTGAGGCATGAGAACCATTTGAACCTGGGAGGCGGAGGCTGCAGTGAGCCAAGATGGTGCCACTGGACTCCAGCCTCAGCAACAGAATGAAACTGTGTTCCCCCTCCCCACCCCCGCCAAAAAAAAAGAGTGGGCTCTAATGGTGCAATGACTCATCCTGAAATTTGACTAAGGTTCTAAATACAAACTTGGAATTGTCATCCCAGACTGGAGTGAGACCTAGGAACTAGGGTTAGTTCCTGTTTATTCACATTTTCACATGGTGCCCATGTATGCAGAAGTGACTAAACCTATCAGATTCAACTTCTTCGGTTTAGCTCTCAGCCTTTGTTTGCAGGTAACGTTATGCTGTGACCATTATGCAAGTGTGTGTGTGTGGATCATTTCCTCTAATTTTGACCAAGTACACGAAGTTCCATTTTTTCTGTTTTGCTTTGAAATGTAAAAATGTAAGATGAACTTACAGCTTTGAAGTATGTATTTAAGAATGACCTAAGCATGTAATTAGATACTAGAGAAAAAGTACTGAATCCTCTTTTTTGCTCCTTTTTAATGGAAAAGTGGGGCCATTTGGGGGAACAGAACTTCGTTTTTCAGAATCATTTTATTTTTAATATAATTTCATGTTTTCTTGGTTTTTAAAATTATTGTTTCAAACCTCAAGGATGATTTTCCCCTTTTGGCTAATAAAAACAGACCTAATTAAGTCAAAATTAGAAAAAAAAAAGGTGAGAAACTTTATGGCCTATTTTCATGTCTGATGTAGGTAAGCAGACAGTTCTCTGCCTTTCTTTCCCAGCATTGTAAACTTTCAGAATCCTAGGGAGCAAAGGATGGCCAGGTAGCTACTCTATCCACATTACTCATTAAGACTACATAGTGACACCAGCTATAAAGGTACAGCCATTCATGATGGAAAACCTTTGCCAGCAGTCTTGGAGCATGTGTGAGAACTGACTGTTCTCTCTCTAGTACTCTGGAAAGATGGAATAGAGCTAAATTAAAACCACTAGAAATCTGGAGTTCAAGTATTCTAGAATTCAAGGAGAGCTCAAGTGGCTATTAAGCAGATGTCCTAGAAGAGGGCCAGTGGATGTTTGGTAACAGAAGCCAACTTTAGCGAGACAAAATGAGCCATGTGTCATGCTTTGTGTTTTTAGACTTGTGGATACCCAGAGTTGTTGGATACCTTTGTTAACATTGAATACATTGAGTGACTTCTGTGATTTCTTCCACAGAAATTTGAGGTTGCCTGGGTGTGGTGGCTCACAGCTGTAATCCCAACACTTTGGGAGGTGAAGGTGGGAGGATTGCTTGAGCCTTGGAGTTTGAGACCAGCCTGAGCAGGATAGCGAGATCGTCTCTTTATGATAAAAAAAAAAATTAAGAAAACAAGGCCAGGTGCGATGATTCACACTTGTAATCCCAGCACTTTAGGAGGCTGAGGCGTGCAGATTGCTTGAGCTCAGGGGTTCGAGACCAGCCTGGGCAACATGGTGAAACCCCATCTCTACCAAAAACACAGAAATTAGCTGGGTATGGTGGTGCACACTTGTAGTCCCAGCTATTTGAGAGGCTGAGGTGGGAGGATCGCTTGAGCTTGGGAGGTGGAGGTTGCAGTGAGCTGAGATTGTGCCACTACGCTCCAGGCTGAGTGAGACCCTGTCTCAAAAGAAGAAAAAAATTTGAAGTCTTAGAGCACTGCATGATGTGACTCCACAGGGCATCCACTAATAGATATAGCACTGGAGTCGCATTACTATAAGTACCACTCATCTGGAGAAATGGTCTTGTGGCAATTGCAAGCTTTTGGTACATTTCAAGAGTTGAGCCTTTTCTGTTCAAGAAAGAAAATTTAACTATTGAATGTAATATTTAAATCCTAATTTGATCGTACTTTTTTAAAGATAGAGACAAGGCCAGGCATGGTGGCTCACGCCTGTAATCTCAGCACTTTGGGAGGCCGAGGCGGGCGAATCACCTGAGGTTAGGAGTTTGAGACCAGCCTTACCAACATGGAGAAACCCTGTCTCTACTGAAAATACAAAATTAGCTGGGCATGGTGGCACATGCCTGTAATCCCAGCTACTCCGGAGGCTGAGGCTGGAGAATCACTTGACCCCGGGAGGCGGAGGTTGCGGTGAGCCGAGATCACACCATTGCACTCAGCCTGGGTGACAAGAGCGAAGCTCTGTCTTAGATAGATAGATAGATAGATAGATAGATAGATAGATAGATAGATAAATAGACAGACAGACAGACACAGAGACAAGATCTCATTATGTTGCCCATGCTGGTCTTACACTTCTGGGCTCCAAGGTGCTGGGATTTCAGACATGAACCACTATGCCTGGCCTGAAAGGATTAGATAATATTTTAGAACCAAACACTAAAGGCACAGTTGACAGACTCAGCCTACCTTTCATTGTTTTACGTATTAAGTTTTCTTGTTGATATCTGTAGGGTACCAAGTTTTCTTTCTGTTTTTTTGTTTTTGTTTTTGTTTTTGTTTTTGTTTTGTTTTTTTTTGTTTTTTTTGAGACGGAGTCTTGTTCTGTCACCCAGGCTGGAGTGCAGTGGTGTGATCTTGACTGACTGCAACCTCCGCCCCCTAGGGTCAAGCAATTCTTCTGCCTCAGCCTCCCAAGTAGCTGGGACTACAGGCATGCGCCACTATGCCTGGCTAATTTTTGTATTTTTAGTAGCGATGGCATTTCACCATGTTGGCCAGGCTTGTCTCAAACTCCCAACCTCAGGTGATTTACCTGCCTCAGCCTCCTAAAGTACTGGGATTACAGGCGTGAGCCACCGTGCCCAGCCTGGGTACCAAGTTTTCAATAAGAAATTATTATTATTTATTGAAACTGGATCTCAGTCTGTCAATCTGTCTAATGTGCAGTGGCAGGATCTCCGCTCACTGTGACTTATGCTTCCTGGGCTCAATCGATCCTCTAGCCTCAGCCTCCTGAGTAGCTGGGACTACGGTCATAAGCCACCATGCCTGGCTCATTTTTGTATTTTTTGTAGAAATAGGGTTTCACTATGTTGCCCAGGCTGGTCTTGAACTCCTGAGCTCAAAGCAGTCCACCAGCCTCAGCCTCCCAAAGTGCTGGCATTATAGGCATAAGCTACCTTGCCCAGCCTGAAAAAATTTTTTTTTTCTTTTTCTTTTTCTTTTTTTCTTTTCGAAATGAAGTCTTGCTCTGTCGCCCAGGCTGGAGTGCAGTGGTGCGATCTCAGCTCACTGCAACCTTCGCCTCCCAGGTTCAAGTGATTCTCCTGCCTCAGCCTCCCGAGTAGCTGGGATTACAGGCACCTGCCGTCACCCCCAGCTAATTTTTTGTATTTTTAGTAGAGACGGAGTTTCACTGTGTTAGCCAGAATGGTCTTGATCTCCTGACTTCGTGATCCACCCACCTCGGCCTCCCAAAGTGCTGGATCTTTTTCTTTTTTTCTTAGAGACAGAGTCTAGCTCTGTCTCCCAGACTGGAGTACAGTGACACGATCATAGCTGACTGCATCCTCAAACTCCCAGGCTCAAGTGATCCTCCCACCTCAGCCTCCCAAATAGCTGGAACTACAGGCATGAGCCACCATGCCTAGCTAATTTTAAAATTTTTTGTAGAGACCAGGTTTTGTTATGTTGTTCAGGCTCGTCTCGAACTCCTGGTCTCAAGTGATCCTTGCACCTTGGCCCCCCAAAGTGCTGGGATTACAGGTGTAAGCTACTGTGCTCGACCAGAATTGCTTTTTTGACTTAGAAAGGAATTCCTTGTCTAAAATCCTTTTATGCGTTAAGTACTTGTCTTCTGTGATTAGAGGAAGAATTACCTTGTACTTGAAATTGCATTTTTGATATCAAAGTACCTTTAAAATGTCTCACACTCAAAAAAGCAGAAGATAGTGCTTTTTTTCACAAAAGTATCTAAGTGGAGTGAATGACTATTTCACATATATTAGCCCTTTTATTACTCAATTAAAAAAATCTGTTTCCTGATCCTTTCTAGTAAATGTAAACAAAATATAGTGGTTTTTTTTCTTTTCTTTTTCTTTTTTTTTTTTTTTTTTGAGATGGAGTCTGGCTTTTTTGCCCAGGCTAGAGTGCAATGGCATGATCTTGGCTCACTGCAACCTCCACCTCCCAGGTTCAAGCGATTTTCCTGCCTCAGCCTCCCGAGTATCTGGAATTACAGGCACCTGTCATTATGCCTGGCTAATTTTTGTGTATTTGTAGAGACAGGGTTTCACCATGTTGGCCAGGCTGGTCTTGAACTCCTGACCTCAGTTGATCCACCTGCCCTGGACTCTCAAAGTGCTGGGATTATAGGAATGAACCACTGTGACCAGCCTAGTGGTTTCTTAATTAAGGGAGATAATCAATTTAGGAGACTATTTGAGTATGTCAGTTTTTTTTTTTTTTCATTGCCCCAGATTTGTTATCCAGTCCAAAGAGTCATACCTTTTTTGGAATTGTCATATTCTGTGGTATCCGTCTTCTCATTCCTCTCTCCAAAAGCATTAATTATGTTTTCCATTTTAATTCGAAGACTTTATAAAAATTAGATCATTTAAAAATAATTGACAATACTCTAGGGAAGGGAGGAAGAAATTCTTTATCAAGTATTAGATGTGGTCTTGAGCTGAATTTGATCTAAAAACTTTATTTTTGTTATGAATATATTATCCTCCAAAGAATTTCTCCTCCTGGGAGTCTGCTCTTCCATTCCGAAATAAAGCTTACTGTATAAAGAACAATTAAGGAACTTACAAACTG